ATATTGCAACCCCAAGGTAGGTTAGTCCATTTAACGAAAGCCGCATTTTAGAAATTCGGTTAATAATAATGTCACCTGACATTTGTTTGAAGGTGCCTCACCAGACGTGGAATTTAAAAGTACTTACATTGATGAAGGCGTTATTCGCCCCCAGGTATGCCCCATGGTTGAGCACCGTGCAAGGCCGGCCGTCCATGTAGGAGTGGAATATTTGCAGGTCGCTTTTAACATATGTCAATTTGCGTGGAAGCTGTCCACTTTAGCCTTTGGCAATAGTAGGAAATAAATTAAAGCCGCTTGTAATTGTCTTACCTAACTAAATAGTAGGTAAAAAGGTTGTGAAATGGGCACTTCACACTAAAAATAAAGCCTACCGACCAAGAAAATTACTAGCAAAACTCCTATTGGCTAACTAAGCCAAGGGAGGGTTTGGGTAAGCAGAAATTCGACCTACTGAACATTCGCAAGCAGTTTATTATTAATTGATTCCTTTTGGCGGTACCACTATGAATCGCTATCGGTGGTTTATTTAACTTCTTCCATCACTTTGCCTGCGCGCGCGTCTGCAGCCAGGTTGCCCAAGAAACCACATAAAACTATTTCTCGTTTTCATAATACTTAATTCCATCACTGACACCAGCCCTTCTGTTTTAGCCGTATCTACAAGGGTGCTTCAATATGGCGCAATATAATCACTACCCTGCTCAACATTAAGAGCTGTTCCCCTGAGGATTATCCAGATCTCGCTGCCCTGCGTTGTGAACTGGAAGGCTTTCTGCAGGAACACGCCACGGAATACAATCTGGCCGCCGAAAAGGCCAATGGTATACTCGCTGGTCTAATGTCCTAGTCAACCCTATCTATGGGTGTACAAGCACCATCGCCACCAAAGTCTTTCATCAGTTGATGCCTGAATGTTAATCGCAACATTTTGTATATTTCTACGTCGTCTTTGAACGTTAAATAAATAGCTATTCTTCCATCACCTCTTATTTACAATGCCCCTCTCCGGAGCTAAGTCTTTGCAAAGTGGGGAATTAGTTTGAGTCGAGTAGATTTTTTTCCGCAAAAGCCCCCCTCACGGCTTTGTCTATACTCTTTTTGGGTGGAACAACCTAGCGCTATGCACAAGGATTTGTAGACCGTTGACTACTACCCGCACGATATCGTGTGCGACCATCAGTACCTGTGTTGTGATTAACTCACGTCGAAGAGAATTTTCCCGAAGGCCCACAGACGCTAGTCTCCACGCCTGGATCAGCCAATCACAGTTGCCGCATAGATGTCTTTTGGGCCGGCGACGAATCGCAAGCCTGCACGCGCAAATTGCTCTCTCTGCCCTCTGGTCTGACTGCTGTCAAGCGGCACTTGGACCCGGCTGGCTCTCCTGGCTGGTCGTGTGTTCCCAAGTCAATCCTCTTCCATCTATTCTCCATTCCCCTGTGTACATAATTTACTGTTCCTAACACTCTGGCCTTTACCGACTTCTTTTCTCTAATAAGTAACCGTGGTCTGAAGATCGCAGTTGCTAGGCTTTAACTCACTTAACCCCCTGCGATATGTGTGGTCGGCTGTCGCCTTAGAGGGTGATTTTGTGCTGAGTGAGCTATTCGGGAAAGGCTCAGCCCCCCCCC